TACGAAATCCGAGTTGTACAGTTGAGATTCCTCCTTGGAATCTGCCTGGGCCCTGGCTCTTAGATACTGCTTGGCCTCTGGCGTAGTATCTACAGGCAGCTTCGGCTAGCTGTCGTCCAATGTCCGATTTGTTGGTTCTCCGGGGGTCCCAAGGGGAAAGGGGCCTTCTAGGAGAGGTTGTGCCAGGGCTTGGGGTTCCGCTAGTCGGGGTAGGCCACTGGTGCCAGTTTCGGAACTGTCTTCGTCTTGTCAGCGCGGTGTTCGCTCTGTGCGAAGCTCGAGTTCTCATAAGGAGCGCTGGCCCTTTCGCAGTTCGCCTCGCTCCATTGACAGGGTGATGGAGGGGGGGGGGATGGGGAAGCTCTTAGTGGGTTCGCTTGGGCATGGTCGAAATGATGACGTCTCTCACATGGGTTTCCTGTCTGTTCCCAATCCTGAAACAGGACTGTACGGATCTGAGGTTCATTCACTTGTCCCGTCTGAACCCCTGGGTTCATTGCCCCTCTTTTTGAATGACTACGCTGTCCCAGGTCTGTCTTCTGTTGGAGCTGGGCGCTTGGCTGGTGTCCCTGGAACTCCGGGACGTTGGCACGTCCCGATTCATTCGGGGTTCAGGAACTGGCTTGGTTTTGTTGTGGGGCGTCAGAGTTACCGCTTTCATTGTCTCCCGTTCAGGTTGAACCTGGCACCTCGCGTTTTCACACGCCTCACCAGTGCTGACCAATGCTTCGTGGTAGCCTGTCTGCATCTTTTAGGTGTTCGGGTACTGGGCTACCTTGACGACTGGCTGGTATGGGCACTCAGCCGGTCCGCTTGTCTGCTTGCAAGAAATTTGGTTCTTTCTCAGCTCACCAGATTCGGGTTCTTGGTGAACTGGAGGAAGTCCCATCTGGTCCCCTCCCAGGTTCGGACTTGTTTGGGACTCTTGGACCTCTTCCTTGTCTCTCCCTCTGGAATCTCTGCTTCGACTACGGTCTTGCCTTTGCTGTTTTCTGGGGGCTCCCGGGTCACCCGGCAGTTGCTCGTGGGTCTGTGTGGGAGCCTGAACTTTGCGATGTTGGTTTTCCCACCGGGTCAGGTTTGGCTTCGTCGGCTGTTCTGGTTTCTTTGGGGACGTCTTTTGCTCCTCTCTCGCGATCCCTGGGTTCGACCCCCGGGGGCTTTGCGTCGGTTGCTGCGTCGCCAACTTTCTCTTCGGGTTTTTCGGGGTTTAGTGCCTTGGCGCCTACCTGAGCCCTCGCTTGATGTGTTCATGGACGGGTCATCTCTGGGCTGGGACTTTGTGACCAGTGCTCACCAGGCCGGCTAGGGGCGGTGGGGTTCGTCCTTACGTCAAGCCCACAGCACAGTGCGGGAGTTTGCAGCTGTGTGGTTTTATCTTCAGAGGGTTCATGTTGCTCGTGGATCGACGATCCGGCTCCATTCGGACTGCTCCCCCAGTAGTTCATTGTCTGAACAGAGGGGGTTTGATGCGGCCCTTAGCTCTTTGGTGCTGGTCGCTTCGGGTGACTCATTTGCTGAGTTCTCGGGGTTTGACTCTCTTGGCAGATCACATTCAGGGGGGTGACAGGCCGTCTGTCAGGAAATAGAAAGAGAGCCTATAGAAACCCCCGTGTGGTTGGAAGCATTCTATGTGTGCCATCTACTGGGTCAGGGACCCAGAAAGGTAGGTGCCCCAAAACAAACCATATCTGGTGAAAATATTGAGAATGAAAGCTGAACTGTTGAACAGAACTCCCCCACCCCCTCAAACGAAAACGAGGAAACGATCATGATGTCACAACTGTCCCTGCGCCACTGTCTGAGCAGCTTCCCCATGCCCAGGGAGGGGAAAGCGGGAAGCGGGAGCCCCAGACCTCCACGCCGGCTATCCACACCGTCAGTTCTCGGCTAATATGTGATCTGGAGGGTTGTACAACTCTGGCTCCGAATTCTTTTAGCAGATCGGACCAGTCTGTTACGTAACTGGTTTGATCTCCTCAAGTCTTCGTGTCTGGTCTTTTTGATGTGGGTCTATCACCATTTGTATGGTGAGCAGGTGGCTTCATTGATGGTGTCCCACCTACGTGTCTTATCTCGGTGGCAGTATGAAGTTTCCTGGCAGACCTTTCATTATTTCTTGTTCCTTTGTAGGTTTTCTTCTGTTTTGGATCAGGTTGCCTTGTCCTTCCTATCTTGGTTGTTTCAGGATCGTCATCTTATGCCGAATGCTGTTGCCTCGTATCGTGTGGCGCTGGCGGAGCTGCTTCAGGGGGTATAACTAGGTTAAATTAAAAATTGTTCAATTTACTTATAAATTTATTTTTGAAATGGTTATAGAAAGGGTTGCAACTGGTCCAAGTTTCACCATCACACCCTAAACAGAAAAGGAGAAAAAAATACACAACGTATTATGCAACGAATTTTCAACATTTTCAAATAATTTCAGGGAACACATGTCAACTAAAATCATTTCTATAACACTCAGATATTAAAATTAGCATATAATAAAGGATTGTTGTGATCAGTTTTATCAAAAAAGTGTTTAGTGCAATACAGTAATATAATTTTTCAAAGTTACCCTTCCAAAAATATGCAATATATGATGTTTATAAATTTTTATAAAATCAACAAATGGACTTTGGACTAAAATGTCTACAACATGCTGTAGAAGCACAAACTCTACATATAAGGTGTAATTTGCATGTAAATTGATTAATAAATGAAAGCTGAGAAACACCTTGAAGTTGTAAATTACTTACCTGAGTAAAATAAGATCAAAGTTCGGCCACCTGTAGCCGAGTTTGACATCGACCTATTTCGTTCATAATTGGCACCCTTGCAGATAGGCATCCATTGAGCAAGGTGTGCAAGTTCCATGAACATCCCCTGATAACAAACGAAAAAAAAAAATTGAAAAAAAAAAAATATATATATATATAAAAAAAATTATACATATATATATCCTGCACATACATATTACAATTATTACAAAATACCAAATTATAACACTAAAACATACTAACCTATTGATATTGGTCCGAATTGTGGGTCCTCAAGGTGGCACTGCATTGGGCACTAGTAGGCACCTGCATGATTGCTGGATCACCTTCCTCAGGAGCCTGTCTCGGCTTGTTGGAGGGAGGGAGGTCTAGGAAGGTGTGTGAGGAGGGTCTAGGAGGGTTGAGGAAGGTGTGTGAGGAAGGTTGAGGAAGGTTGAGGTGGTGTGAGAGGAAGGTTGAGGAGGTGTGGTGCGCCAAAATCTCTCACTGGATATTACTCTTCGCGCTAAAGCGGCTTTCTTTTAGTGATAAAGACGGCGACCTAGTGCCAGATTTGCTGCTCTTATCTTCTGGCACTATCTCTTTATAAGAGTTTGTGTAGTAGACGCAAAAATGCGCTATTAGGAACGATAATGGAGCGCGCATCAGAACATATCCGCACTCTATCAGACACACGAGGTGACTGGGGGCTGGGACCTCCCCTATAGCACAGCAAGGGATGAGAAGGTTGCCAATGAGTGTATATTTACTCCTTATGCATACATCGATATTTACGACGTTATTACGAAAAATTTGACGTTTAGAACGTACGACGCAATACTCTTGGCGCGCCACAGCCGCGGGGCACCGGATTCTGCACAATTACGCATGGAAATGTACCATAAATACTTTAATTTATATCATAACATTATCGGGTTTGCGCCAAAGTGTTGCCAGAACGTTGTAGTATTTTTATAAATTTTTCAAAAAGATTCGATTTTTCCGAATTTTTGCGTTTGATAAGCCCCCTTCAGTTTGCGTTCGGGGTGGATGTTACTTCTACCCCATTTCACAAGCAGTCTCATGCATTATTTCACCTCTGGCCTGCTCATGTACCGCCCGAGCCGTCCTGGTCATTGGACCGGGTGCTCTCTTTTTCTCTCTTCTCCTCGGTTTGTTGTGGCCCCTTCGGTTCAAGATTGTTTTATGAAGGCTCTCTTTTTTCCTGTTGGCATTGGCCTTTGGAGGGTCGGGTTGGGGAGCTTCATTGTCTCCTCTGGTACAGAGGTTCCTGCTCTTTTGGTCCTGGTGGTTGGTTTGTTCGTATGCAGCCGTTTCCTTCTTTTCTGGCGAAGAATGAGACTGCTGCTTTCCGAAGGGATCATTGGGTTGTCGATGCTTGGTTGGTTAGTCTGGGGGTGCATCATGTGATGTGTCTGGTTGCGGCTCTTCGCTGTACCTGTGCGCCATGGCCTTGAAGGCCGGGGACACGCTTTGGGTTGACCCAGTTTTCATTCTTCCCTGTTCCAGGGTTTGGGTCTCCCAGGTCATCTGTAAGGTAATTCGGTCCAGCCAGTCTACGGTCTATTCTCATGCCCCATGACGTTCATAAGTTTGCTTCTCTTGCTGCTGTCTTTGGTAACATGTCTTGGGCTGACATTCGGGCACGGGCAATTGGAGGTCAAACAGGGTCCTGGCTGCTCGCAACCTTGTCAGTGTTCCTGGCCCTAGTCGGGCATGTGTTGCATTGGGTCGGCGGTTGCAGCCAGTTGTCTCGACTTCGAGTTGAGGATCAAGTGGCGACCACCTTCCAGGTAAGTCCCACTTGTTTTTATCTTTGGTTAAGTATCTCCGGGGAGCCGAAGGGGCTCCCCTCAGAAAACCAGCATTGAATGTAATGAAACACCATTTTCTGAGTGAGACTCGGAGGCTTTCCGGCCACCCCCCTCCCTCTGGTTGGCAGTTTTCGCGTGGTTTTTGACAGCTAGCCTCAGAACTGACAATGTGGATAGCTGACACAGGGGTATGGGGCTCCCCCTTACCCCATCCCGAGGCAGGGGGAGCTGCCTTTATTTTTGGAATACTTTAGGGAATTTATTTAGAATATCTTATCATACAGCAGGTAACAGTTGATAGCAGGGGCTACCCAGAGAGGTAACCTTGTTATGGTCTTATCCAGTGTCTGGATTATAGTGTCATCTCTCTTTTTTTTCATCTGTTTTAATTACTATAGAAGATTTCTCCTTTGTTTTACTTCAGCTTCTTTGGTGTATCAAGAAGTGCCACCCTTGTGACCTGCTTCTTGATGAAGAAATACAAGATATCAGTTGATGAAGCTCTGCAAAGGTACAGTAGATAACTAATTCTCTCTTGTTATCCACCAAAATCTCATTTTCTGGGGGGGAGGGGGGAAACCCCGTTGGCTCCCTGAAGCTGTCCAGGCTGAATGGATATGTATATCTTTCTGGCATACCTTGCCTTGAGGTGATTTTGGGGCTCGGCGACCCCGTGGCCCGGTCATCGACCAGTCCTCCTCGTTGCTGGACTTGTCAACCAGGCTGTTGGATGCGGCTGCTCGCAGCCTGACGTATGAGTCACAGCCTGGTTGATCAGGTATCCTTTGGAGGTGTTTGTCAAGTTCTCTCTTGAACGCTGTGAGGGGTTGGCTAGTTATGCCCCTTATGTGTAGTGGATGCGTATTGAACAGTCTCGGGCCTCTGATGTTGATAGTTCTCTCTGAGCACCTTTTGCACTCTTCAACAGAGGTATTCTGCACATCCTGCCATGCCTTCTGGTCTCATGTGCTGTTATTTCTGTGTGCAGGTTTGGGACCAGCCCCTCTACTATTTTCCATGTGTAAATTATAATGTATCTCTCTTGCATATTCTTCAGTGGATTCTAGCAGTAAAGGATCTCTGTACGCTCTCCGGGTCAGCAGAGCGTGCAGAGAGCATCAGTCAAATGCATAGAGTTCTTGCCTATCGGAGACCACACGCCAGAGCCTGGCCCCCCTCTAGAGAGGCACGAGGAGCAATGGCCTATAGAGACCCCCCTCTGTGGTTGGGAGCATTCTATGTCTGCCATCGACTGGGATAGGCACCCAGAAAGGCGCCCCAAAACAAACCCCTATTCTAGTAAAATTATTGTGACCGAAAGCCGAACAAGTAGACAGAACTCCCCAAACGAGAATTGGCAAACAAGCATGACATCATCATGTCACCGCACCACTGTCTGCCCAACCCCCCCCACCCCCCCCTCCCCGGAAGGGGGAAGGGGGAGCTCCAGACCCATTCGCCGGCAACCCAACCTTCAGTTCTTGGCTGATGGGAGTCTGGTGCGGCCGTGCCTCTGGCTCCAGTTCTGTGCCTTGTGTGGGCTGTCTCTTCATGTGGTGTGTGAGCCAGGAGATGTATTCCACGGTACTCGGGCTGCATGCGCCTAGGGTTCCCTTCCCTAGGTGCCCTGTAAGTACTGCTCTTGGGACTTGGGCCTCCTTCCACAAGTCACCTCGAGATCTACCTCCGCTGTGACGTTTACTGCTCGGTATTTGGCCGCTCTTGGGGTCAGCTGGGGTATTTCTTACCCTTGTTTGTCTCTGGGTAGGAGGGGGGATAGCTTTCATCAGTGGCAGGGACATGGGGTACTGCACAGCTAGTTTTCACCAATAACAGCGGCCGGCTCTGTTCCACCTGGGTACGTTGTCCTCTTGTGGGGTTTTTCTTATGTTTTTGTTTTCTGCCTGGTGGTGGGGGGATCTGCCTTTGTATTCACCTATTTGTACTTGTGGAGGTTGAGCTCTGGCTCTTTGGTCCCACCTCTCAACTGTCAATCAACTGGTGTACAGGTTCCCAAGCCTATTGGGCTCTATTATATCCACATTTGAAACTGTGTATGGAGTCAGCCTCCACCACATCGCTTCCTAATGCATTCCATTTGTCAACCACTCTGTCACTAAAAAAAGTTCTTTCTAATATCTCTGTGGCTCATTTGGGCACTCAATTTCCACCTGTGTCCCCTAGTGTGAGTGCCCCTTGTGTTAAATAGCCTGTCTTTATCTACCCTATCAATTCCTCTGAGAATCTTGTACATGGTGATTATGTCCCCCCCTAACTCTCCTGTCTTCCAGCGACATGAGGTTTAATTCCCGTAGTCTCTCCTTGTAGCTCATACCTCTCGGCCCGGGTATTAGCCTGGTGGCAAACCTTTGAACCTTTTCCAGTTTAGTTTTATGCTTGACTAGATATGGACTCCATGCTGGGGCTGCATACTCCAGGATTGGTCTGATATAGGTGGTATGCAAAGTTCTGAATGATTCCTTACACAAGTTTCTAAATGCCGTTCTTATGTTGGCCAACCTGGCATATGCTGCTGATATATGTTGCAGGGAAAAGGTCTGGCATGATATCAACCCCCAAGTCTTTCTCTCTGACTCTTGAAGAATTTCATCCCCCAAATGTTACCTTGTATATGGCCTCCTGCTCCCTACACCTATCTTCATTCAACCCATCCTCCGAATTGACAGTACGTTTTAATACTAAGTGTAATAAGTACATTTCCTGACTGTTATACATAGTACATAATTGCACTTACGGGGCTGTTACATTTACCCATCCCCTTCCCCTGATTCAAGTCTCCTCGTTTTCTGTTAGGACACTTGAAATTTTAAGATGAAATTTTAAAGTTCAGTTGCTATAAACAAGTTTTAAATATTAGGATTTTCTTTTTCACTTTTATTAAACAATAGAGATTTTATGCAAAATTTGAAAATATCCTGAGTTACTTTACAATTTATTGAAATATTTTAGTTTTGTTTTATTTGTTTTATAAAACTGTAATATCAATATAGCTATAGGTTAAGTAATAGTTATAATTAAGATGCAATAAAATGCTTATCTTCACAAACTAAGACGGTTAGGTTAGGTCGTGGTTTTCTATTCAGCTTTTTAGGTAAACTCAAATATTCACAATATATTAGACAGTACGATTTAATACTAAGTGTAAATAAGTACAATTCTTGACTCATATATACATAATAATTGCACTTATGGGGCTATGTACATTTACCTCCCCATTTTTGGAGGACGGGCTGCTTCATTTGTGGTCCCTCATTACTGTTCTTGGGGTATATATATCTATATTCTGTGTTTGGTGTTCCTCCTCCGCTAGGCCCCTATGAGTGGACACGTCCCACGGGTTCAGCTTTAAGAGGTTTGTTTGGTAGACTTGGGCGCTGGTTCACAGTACCCTGCCTGGGCTTCCCTTAGCGTGTAACCATGGCTAAGGGCCCTGGGAACCCCACAGGGGCTACATGGTCCGTTGGATGTGGTCCCTGAGTCCCCCCTCATGTCCTGCGAGTTTGAATGGTGCTCTGTCCCCTTGTCTCAGGGTGACACTCACTGGTTTTGCCTCCGCCATGCTGCCTGTTGGGTCAATGATTGTTTTGACCCGGAGTCGTGTGACGTTTGTTGTCTGTACGTGCTCCAGTTCACCCAAGCCACTGATAATGATATGCGGGTGCAGGCAGCTCCGGCGTTGCATGCTAGATTTAGGTTGCTGCAATGCGCTAGGTTGGTTGTGGCCCCGGATGCCACGAGATTGCCCCGTTTTGCTTATAGGGACCTGGACTTGTGGGTGGGAGTCGCTTCGGCTCTGATTCTGTCCGCCCCTCCTAGTCCTTCCCCCTCAGTTGTTCATCTGGCCCCCCCCCCCTTGCTTCCGGCTCCGAATCGTCTTAGGGTTTCAGAGTCGGGGCAGGATCTAGTTGGAGTTGAGACTCGGGTGGTCTCATGGGTGTCCCCTTTTGGGGTTGCGGCAGAGGCATTCGAGCCTGGTCCTTCACCTGAAGCGTCTGGGTCTGGCCAGTGGGCCCCCTGCGTTCCTGCTTTTTTGGAAGCTCCCGCTTTTTCTTCAGAAGTGAGAGGTTTGGAGGCTGGCTCGACCCCGGGTCCTCAGGATACGGTTCCTGGGGCTGGGGACGGGTTGACTTGGGGGCCTTGGGCCCCATTGAACCCCGCCTAGGTTTTTCTGCCCTTAGAGCGGGGCTTAGTGTTACAAGGAGAGGGGTTCTCTTTCGCTCCCTCCGCCTACGAATTGGATTTGGTGCCCCGGGTTCGGTTCCATGATCCCGCGAGTTCCTCGGTTCCGTCTTTCCGGAGGTTTTCAGCTTCCCGCATCTTGTCTTCTCAGGTGCGGGAAGTCATTGCGGTTTACCTCCTGAGCGACCCGGATTATGCTTTCGTGATGGATCCGCGTTCCTTCATGTATGGTTCTTCTTGTCCGTACTGGTTTCGTTATGAAGTTCCGGAGTCGTCCTGACAGTTAGCAGACTGTCCTCCTCTTTTCGTTGGAGGCTTGGCACACGTTCTGTTGGTCCCGCGCACTTGACTGGTGGGAAACTCAGACGGTGTTTCAGGCGTTCCTGGGGGGGGGGGGTGATTTTTAGCACCTCAATGCTCACAATCGACTTGAGAATGGTCCAGGACGGACCGAAACGTCGTCGTCCCTTCAATTTCTAGTGTGTGGTCTGGTCAACATACTTCAGCCACGTTATTGTGACTCATCGCCTGCACCTCAATGCTCGTTTGTTCGCCCCTGCCCTTCCGCGGGATGTTGGTGTTGTGCAGTTTCACGTGCAGCTTCCTTCCCTTTCGGCTGCCTTGGTTGCGGAGAATTTGAATACTTGTGGCCTGCTTGCTTCGGCCCTGCGTTTCTTTTCCCTCCTTGAGCTATCCTCGGATTGGCTTGAGTTGGATGTGGGGGCGCTTGGGGCTGCTGCCAGGTCTGAGGTGCTGCCCTCTGCGGTGCAGGCATTGTCTACTTTGTTGAAGCTCTTCATGCCACTCCTGCGTGATGCGGTTTTGCGGTTCTATGCTTCTCGCCCCGCGTGTCGGCAAGAGGTGCTTGCTTCTTCCTTGGAATCTGCTTGGGCCCTGGCTCTTCGCTTGTCTTCGCCTTTTAATCCTTTGCTCTTTGCGGAGTCTGTGGAGGTGCAGGACCTGCAGGCGTCTTCTGTTAGTTGTCTACCTATGTCTGACTTGTTAGTGCTGGGGGGGGGGGGGCTCGTGGGGGACCTTTCCAAAAGGGTCGTACCAGGGCTTGGGGTTCCGTTCGTCGTGGTAGGCCAGTGGTGCCAGATTCGGGGCCGGCACAGCCTTCGGTTCCGTCTGTTTCTAGTCGGTATGGGAATCGCCCTGTTCACCGCTCAGGTTCTCGTAAGGTGCATCGGCCCTTTCACTGTTCATCCCATTGATGAGACGATGGGGGGGGGCGGCTCGCCCTGTTTGCTTGTGCCTGGTCCCACGATTCGTGGGCTTTTCGGGTCATTTCGAGTCATTTCGTGCGGCCTG